AATACTATCTGACGAGCATCCGCTCTTGAAATGGAAAAACGCCTGCGCAGCGTTAAAGCATTAACATGGAAATTTTGGTGAAATAATTTAGCCCCCTCTAAGGAGGAAGCCAAGCATATCAACTGGCCTCTAGTGGCTGAGTCCGCACAGGCATTACCCTGTGATAACGGACCAGGAAGAGAAGTATGAGCCCGTATGTGCATTGGATAAAAGGGAGCAGTGCGGCTACAGATAAGTTGTTGAAGCTGATTAAAGTAAGCAGATACATTATGGGCATTACTAATAGCTCCCACGGCCTCCAGGACTTTGAGTGCTTGTACCACATAAATGGAGTCCGAGATAAGATTAAAAGGAAAAGAACACTGTTTAAAAACCTCAATAACAATTTGTAGTTCAACCCATTGTGGATTACCAGGAGCAAATTGATGCTGAACAGGGGGAGAATCATTAATTACATAAGCTCCCATTCCAGACTTGGAACCATCAGTGAAAATATTAACAGCCCCCGGAATTGGATTGGGTGAAGTTACCTTAGGGAAAATGATGGGATGTTCTTTAACAAAATGGAGTAATGGATGGGAAGGGTAATGATTATCAATAGCCCCTTGAAACGAGCAACATAGAATAGCCCAGTTGTCTAGAGTAGCACACAAAACATTAAGTTGAGCCTTAGTATAGGGTATAATAAGAGAAGAAGGTGATTGTCCAAAAAATTGAATGCTTTGGTGAATCCCTTTAAGTGCTAACGCTGCAACAGCATCAGGATAGTATTCTAAAGATTTTCCTGGGGATATATGTGGATGGATCCATAGTAAAGGCCCATCTTGCCACAGTACTCCAGTAGGCTGCCGCATAGTGGCAAGCACACATAACTGGAAAGATTTATCACTTTGGAGCCTGTATAGAGTAGCATGTTGTATAGCTTCTTCTACTGTTATAAGGGCCGCTCTAGCCTCTTTGGTGAGGCTACGAGGAGAAGCAAGATCTGGATCACCCTTAAGGGTAGCATACAAAGGCTGGAGCACACCATTAGGAATATGTAAATATCCCCTTATCCAATTAATATCTCCCAACAGTTTTTGAAAATCATTCAGAGTTTGGAGATCTTGAGTTCTTATGGTGATTTTTTGTGGTTTTAGTTTATCATACCCAATTATTGCTCCCAAATACTCAATAGAATTCCCCGTTTGAACCTTTTCAGGTGCAATATGTAGCCCATATTGAGCTAACAGCTTTACTAAGTCTTTATAGGCCTCATTAACTATCTGCTCTAATTTAGCGGCCAATAACACATCATCCATATAGTGAATAATCTTGATGAAGGGATACTTATGTCTGAGAGGTGCAAGTGCCTTTCCCACATACATCTGGCACATTGTGGGACTATTAGCCATTCCCTGTGGCAACACTACCCACTCAAACCTAAGATCTGGCTCCTCGTGGTTACACGAGGGAAGGGTGAAAGCAAAACGTTGTGAGTCTTTAGGATGCAAAGGAATAGAAAAGAAACAGTCTTTAATGTCAATAGCAATAATATGCCAGCCCTGAGGAATAGAGGAGAGCAGAGGTAGCCCTCTTTGAATGGGCCCCATAAGTTGCATTTGAGCATTAACTGCTCGTAAATCATGTAGTAGGCGCCACTTTCCTGATTTTTTCCTAATAACAAATATGGGAGTATTCCATGGAGAAGTAGAAGGTTGGATGTGGCCCAAGTTTAGTTGTTCTTTAATTAAATTATGGGCCGCTGCCAATTTAACCGAGGGAAGAGGCCACTGAGGCACCCAAACAGGCTCCTCGGTGAGCCATGTTATGGGTATTTGAGCCCCAGTGGCCCCTAGGAAAAACCCAGACCAAATCTGTTAAGCTTTTGATGACCTTGCACAGGATGCCTACACCCCTGTAGGTGTTTTCCTAGTCCTAGACCTGGCCTATACCCCATATTTTGCATAATCTGTTGAGACACCGGAGAATAGTCATTACTAAGAGTAAACCCCATGTCTTTCATCAGATCACGACCCCATAAAGAGATAGGTAAATCAAGTACATAAGGCTGAAAGGTGCCATTGTGTCCTTCTGGGTCCTTCCAAGATAGATGTCTACAGCTGATTTGAGGGGCTTGGGCATATCCCAAACCTCTTAGTGATTGATCTGAGAGCTGCACCGGCCACCCCTTTGACCAGTCCTTTTGTGCTATTATACTACGATCTGCTCCAGTATCTAGCAATCCCAAAATTGATTTGCCTTCTATGGTTAAGGTTAAAGTAGGACGGTCATTCATATCTAAGGACAAATAAACAGAATTCCCTCCAGTGACTCCAATCTCATCACTTGTCCTTGAAAAGGAATCAGCAGGAAAGCGGGTATGCAGACTGGGTAGAATTAGCAATTGAGCAATCCGGTCTCCTGGGGAAATGGACACAATACCCTTTGGAGCTTCCACCATAACCTTTACTGATCCTACAGTATCAGGACTAATGACTCCAGGAAAGACATGAAGACCTTGTAATATAGAGGATGCACGTCCAATTAGCAAGCCTACAGTGCCAGGTGGTAAAGGTCCTTTGAATTTAGTTTCCACCAATTGTTCTCCCATCTTAGGTGTTAGTACGAGTCTAGAGGTGGAACAGAGGTCCAATCCCGCGGCACCTGTAGTGGCTCTCCGCGTCTCATGGGATGGCGTAGAGATGGCCATGTCTCGGGTTTGGGTGTGACATTCTCCATTGCCCCATATATTTGTGGGCCCTGAGGTCGGGGGCCCCTTCGGCCGTTTTTTGGCCCAGCTGAAACAGGCTGTCCATAGATGTCCCACACTGATCTACACTCTTTTGCCCAATGCTTTCCCTTTTTACATTTTGGACACAGCCCCGGTTGACGAAGGCCATTGGAAGGGCCACCGCGAGGGGGTCCAGTAAAATTATCTTTTTTAGGACATTCACGTCTGAAATGACCAGGTTGACCACAATGGAAGCATGTTCCGGCACCAGGACTGCCCCCTTTTGCCATCCGAAGGACAGCAGCTGCAAGACCTGCATTAGTTAAAGGTCCTCCAATCTCTCTACACACTTTCATCCATGCTTCTATGCCCTTATTTTTATAAGGAGTGATTGCTGCTTTACATTCCTTAGTGCACTGCTCAAAAACCAATTGCTTGATAAGGGGCATGGCTCTATCAGGATCCCCAAAAATCTTTCCAGCGGCATCCACCATCCTTGCTACAAAATCTGAAAAGGGTTCTGTAGGGCCTTGTAGAATCTTGGTCAAATTACCAGACACCTCTCCTCTATTTGGAAGCGACTTCCATGCCCGAATGCAAATGTTGTTAATTTGATCATATGCCTCAAGAGGAAATCCTGTCTGTTGATTTGCAAATCTACCCTGCCCTAAGAGCATATCCTTGTCCCAATGGGGATGTCCCGCCGCATGGTTTTGGGCGGCCTGCTCTATTGCGCCCTCTAGCACGAATGCTCTCCAGTCCAGATATTTACCCGGGGAAACGCAAGCCCGAACAAGGCTAGCCCAATCAGAGGGAGTCATACAGTATCTAGATAGATTCTCCACCTGAGTCAGTGTGAAAGCGGCATCCACCCCATAAGTGCGCACAGACTCCGCCAGGGTCTTTACAATTTTAAAATCTAAGGGTTCATGGACTCTTCCCCTGTTGTCATCCTGAAAAACTGGATAAGCAAGACCCATCTCAGCGTGAACAGCCCTCCATGTTTGGGCATGGAAAGCTCTCCCCGAAGTGCCCCCACCATACGGCGGTGGATCCGGGGGATCGTTTTTCCTGAGCTCCTGTTTCTTTTTGTTCCCTTCTTCTGTAGCTAAACTCCCTAGCTGACAAGACAGCCTCCCGAGCTCTTCCTCCTCATCCTCCTCCTCCTCTGACCCACTTTCGCATGGGGGTGTACGCAGCGTACTGAGATCTGGATACAACCGTCTCCTCCCCCGTGTCATGCTCCGCACACTCCCCTCTTCTCGAGTCACTTCGCTTTCTGTCGTCTCCGACTTTTCCTCATGTAATCGCTCTAAAACCTCCTGTCCTTTAGCAAGTGCTTCCTGGCATCTGCCATCCGTAAGGCAACCACGGACCATTTTCCAAAGGGGTATCACCCCACCCTCTAACATGCCGTGCTCAGATGCAAAATCAAGATCTTTGCCTAATTTATCCCAACTAGGCGCAGTAAGGCTGCCCGAAAATGCAAACCACGGTGCAGCGATATCTACCTTCTGTAAAAATCTCTGTAGTGTACTATGCTTCACTTCCAGTCCCTTGGAACGTAACAGGCCATCTAGGGCCAGAAGAAGCGGACTTGAAGATGCGGCACCCATGACACAACGACAAAAAAAATACAGACAGCAGAAACACACTGACACAGCGAAAGAAACACAGAAAGCAAAAGCGAAAGTAGACGCAAAAGTACACGGCGCGGCTGCAATAAAATGCAAGGCTTCCTCTTTCATTACAGACAGAGGAGCTGCCCCACTTTCTTCGCGTATCCCACTTACCTGGGACTAACCCCGCTTTAATCGCGGATCCCCTTACCTGGGGACTGACCCCGCTTTGAACGCGGATCCCCCTTACCTGGGGACTGACCCCGCTTTGATCGCGGATCCCACTTACCTGGGACTAACCGGTGCACCACCCCTGACTACTGAGAGTTCTGATTTTCCCGGGTTTCGGCACCACTTGTCGCGACCCCTTGCCCGCAAGGAAGACGCAACTCCAAAATCTTCTCTCAGTAGTTTATTCGGGCCCTTGATATTTATTATTCTTTCTTCTTCTTCTTCTCCCGGATGCCCTCCCAGCCTTAATAAAGCATCCCAAGCCCCAATGCAAAGCTGCCGCGTGGAACTCTCTCACAGGGTGGTGAAAAATCATGTGCCAACTCTCTCAGATAAGGAGTTGTTTGTCACATACCACAGAGGAGCCAGCGCCATCTCGTAATGGCGACCATAGTCTGCAGAAACGGCAGAAGCGGCTCACCACAGAGCCTGTTTATTGGTTTCTATTTTCCAACCCTATATTTTTCTTCAAAAGATGTTCCAGCTATAGAGAACCACAGAATCTAACACTTGCCTCAGACTTCCATCTCATGAGCCTCTCAGAAGACCCAGAAATTCAGACCATCCTCTTTGGACTACTCCTTATAATGTACCTGGTTGCAGTGCTTGGGAACCTGCTCATCATCCTGGCTGTCGGCTCTGACTCCCACCTCCACACCCCCATGTACTTCTTCCTCTCCAACCTGTCTTTGGCTGACATTGGTTTCATCTCCACCACGGTCCCAAAGATGCTCATGAACATCCAAACTCACAGCAGAGTCGTTTCCTATGTGGGCTGCCTGACACAGATGTCTTTTTTTCTCATTTTTGGATGTATGGATGACATGCTTCTGACTGTGATGGCCTATGACCGGTTTGTGGCCATCTGTCACCCCCTGCAATACTCGGTCATCATGAATCCTCGCTTCTGTGGCTTCTTAGTTTTGGTGTCTTTTGGTTTTAGCCTTTTGGAATCCCAGTTGCACAATTTGATTGCCATATACTTCACCTTCTCCAAGAATGTGGAAATTGCTAATTTCTTCTGTGAACCATCTCAGGTCCTTAATCTTGCCTGTTTTGATACACTTACAAAAAATGCAGTCACATATTTTGTTGGTGCCATCTATGGCTTTCTTCCTCTCTTAGGGATATTTTTCTCTTACTATAAAATTGTTTCCTCCATTCTGAGGATCCCATCCTCAGGTGGGAGGTACAAAGCCTTCTCCACCTGTGGGTCTCACCTGGCAGTTGTTGGCTTGTTTTATGGAACGGCCATTGGAGTGTACCTTGCTTCAGCTGTATCCAGCTCTCCTAGAAAGATGGCTGGGTTCTCACTGATGTATGCTGTGGTCATCCCCTTGCTGAATCCCTTCATTTATAGCCTCAGGAACAGGGACATTAAAAGTTCCCTGAGGCGGTTACAGAGCAGAGCAATGTAGTCTCTTTATCTTTTCTATCCTTTTATTGCTTCAGTTCAAAACATCAAAATCCTCTGCGGACTCTACCTTCTTATTTACATGCTCCTGTACTCGTGGCTATCTTCCCATACCATGTTCCACACCAGAATATTATTTCTTTATTAATTGAACTGCATAAGAATTCTGAATCCCTTTTTTTTAAACATAAGTCTCATATCTAAATAAATGTACCCAGGTAGCCTCTGTCATTTCTGAGCAATGACCCTGGCCTCCATGTGCAATGCTAAACTTTTATTTTTTATATCTAAAAGTTATATCCCTTTTCTAAATCTATGTATATTTTCTCTAAAACTTGTCTCAGAGGTATCCAATTAGGCAGGTTTGTGTAGTGACAATAGTAGTCATTCTCAAGTTGTCTTTTATTGGATCAGCCTAGGAACATAAAATCACTGATTACTGGGTCTCATCACCTGATACACAAGGTGTGAGGAGTTTGTTAAGCTTCAGAGATGGGCAGATGTGGTTCCTAAAGGGATCAATGTCAGATGGGCTAGAAAAGCCCCCATTGCAGTAGCACGTGCGGTGGTTTATCCATCATCTCCTTTAATTCCATGCTCCAGATCCCCTTTTGTAATAAGGTTTGCTCTTATTACATGTGCAATACCTTAAGGAAGGAACAGTGAATCTTCTTGGTTGGACCAGGAATCCCAAAAAGCACAAGTACGTGCCCCTTAATGACATTGTCTCCAGCCTCCCTGAACACCTCCTGGAGTCACTGAACCTCTGGGAACACCATGTCGATGACCAGGCCGTCTCAATGCTGCAACCCAATGGGAAAAGAGGCCCAAACATCACTGGGCTGAGTGACCTTCCATTTTCATCTCTCCATGGTCTCCAGCACAAGACACTGGGGGCAGAAGCATTCCATTCCCTGAGCAAAATGTGCAGAGAGAAAGACAGATGTGTCGTGACCGGTGTCATATGAATTTCAAACCATTTCTGAAACATGGGTATTTCAATCGGTCCCTCATTGTGGCATGTTTTTACTTATCTCCAATGTTAATCATAGTTACCATTTACTGAAAACTGAGTATAAGCCCATCACTGCTAATCAAATATATTCCTTATAAGAAGCCTGCAAAAGAAAACACATTTTTAAGAGTCCTTGTGAGATGGTTACTCATACTGTACTATTTATCTTATGCAAGAGAAAACTGAGTCCAAAGAGAGGTAAGTGACTTGTTCAGGGAGAGAAAGAGCTGAGTTGTGATCCCAGGGAAATTTTTAAAGTTTGAAATCTGTGCACTTTACATGAGTTGATTTTAATGGCATATAATTGAAAAAATAAACCCACTGTCCATAAACACCATGTAGCTTAGCATTATGCTGGGTCTTCAACAACTGTCTCTCTGCTCTGATCTCGCCCTCTGTAGTTACCTTTTCATGCTGAGGGGGGGACACTTAAAATTACTACTCTGCTTTCCTTCTGGTTTTGTTTTTATATACTTTTGCCCATGGTCACAGAACTTCACTACATTAAAAATTCATTATATTCACACCCCTAAGACTCAGTGTTTTAGAGGACCCTCCAGTTCCTTTGTGACCTGGCTTTCCCACTTTCTCTCTGTCCTGCCTAACTACCTATAAAATTGTCTGCATTCAGTTCTCTCCGTTTAATGAACTAGATCGTTTCTATTTCTTGGGTGAAAACAAGGCAAATCACAACATAGGGAGGGGAGAAAGGTACATTGTGAGATGCCTGCAATTGTAACATTTAAATGTGTTCAAGAAAGCAGGCTAGTTTTATATGTATGGCTTTGCTCAGGTGTCCAGCTGAGGAGTCACAGGTGACCTCATATTTCTGGTTGCTGTGTGACTCTAGAATTATTAAGTCAAGAATTTCATCATAAACTAAACAAACTTTTACTTCTTTCTCTTTAAATTGATATTAGTCTATGTCACCAACCAAAGCAAGTTACCTGTTCTCCTACTCATTTGGTATCCAAAGTCCCTGGAAAATACAATAACAATGTTGCCTTCTTATGTTGCATGGTAGACTCTCCACATGGGTAATCCCTAGTTTATTTAATGAATTAGGAAAGTTTCAGGATGTATTAACCCCTTTCTTGGGAAAATCTTTAAATTTCACACCAACTGCCTAAAAGTAATGTGACAATCTTTGATTAGGATGGAGAATATAGAAAATAGAGTGTTAGAGTTAGAGACATTTTCTCAATCATACATTGGCTCTTAAAACTGAGAATTTAGGCAACTTCCAAGTCCTCTCTGAGCCTCAGATTCCTCAGGAGTAAATTAACTGTAACAATATATTTCTTCAAATGATTATATATAAGTATATCATGAGCCAGGCAAACAAGAGTTCCCCATCAATGATAGCTCCTAGTATTATATTAAAGGATTTATTTTGAAATGTATATTCCTAGAATTTACAAGTTATATGGTATTAGAAATTGTGTGACTTGGAACATGATACAAAACAAGTTTTTATTAAATAATCTGAACATCAGGCATTGCCAATGTGGCCTACTCCTGCTATTAGGTTATGTGGTTCTGCCAAATTTACCACTAGTATGTATTCATGCACACATCACTTTCATACATATTCAACTTGAAGGGGTATGTATTCAGGTTCCATTACATTGGTCAATGAATAACTGTTTTTCTTATGAGTCATGAGGGCCTTATGGGAAGACTACGGACAATTTCCATAGACCATGATTCCAATATAACCTATTTTATCAACTTCACTAAAGACAGACAGCTATATATTTTATTAAAGGCTTAATTAGATGATAAAACACATGCAAAATGTAAAATAAATATATTTGGAGTGAGAGGAGAACCTTCCTGAGAAAAACTCAGCAGCTACTGGACACAGAATGATGGGTATTTAACTTAATATTGTTGTGATACCTAGTGGCTGGAAAAGAATCAAGGTGTCTCTTTTTGATTTCAGGCTAAAGACAGCATAGGGAAATCTATGTCAATACCCGCTACAGAAGAGAGGTTTTTATGTCAATCTGCCAGTTAGTTCTTCTGCAGAAAACTTGCTGATGGACTTGTGTCTTGGTGGGTGGTGGGCCATATGGAGAGGGACAGCTCCACCTTCTTGGGGTACTTAGGAATTAATGCACTGATGGAAGGATAGGCCTGGTCCTCCCTTGTTCTGTCACCTGCTTGCACACACTGACAAGCCAGCTTCTGTGTTCTGAGATTCTCATCAGAGTCTCTTGTGGCTAGGAATTAGGAGAGGCCTCTGGCCACCATCCTACAAGAACCTGAATCCTGCCCACAGCTGCATGAAGTACCTTTGCAGCAGATCCTCAGCTGTGAAGCCCCAAGATGACTGAAACCTCAGCTGGCACCTCAGCTGCAGGCTTCTAAGATGTTCTGACATAACAGTGGGGTAGAAAGTTTCCAAAAATCTTTGTAAAGACCAATAGTTTCTAATATGCAATCCTGCACCAAATTAACAGAAAAAATCAGAATCAGAATCTTATCCATTTTACCAAAAAAAAAAAAATTATATAACACAATTTTATCAAATCTACATAGTTTTAACAAAATTGAAAATAACAAATACTGACAAGGATATGAAGATATTAGAACCTATGCACAGTAGAATGTAAAATGTGCTCAGCTATTCTTCAAAAAGTTAAGCATACAATGACCATATAACCCAGAAGTTCAACTCTGAGATTGTTACTACAATAATTAATACAAGGATAGGCATCTGCTTGCTTAACAACTAGGGTAGGTTCTGAGAAAAGTTTGCTAGATTTTGTGATTGCACAGGATCATTGAGCATACTCAAACTAAAATGGGGAGGAGGTCACTGTATGCAGGCTCTCAATGAATAAGGTGTTGTCATATAGCATAGGACTCTTCCAACAAATGTGTGTAACTATCCAAGGCAGCACTACTCATAACATCCAAATATGGCAAAAACATTCGAACAGCTCAACAGCTTATGTGTGTACATGCAGTAGAATACTGTTCCGCCAAAACAAGGGGTGGTAAAGGTAACATTACCAAAGAGTCCAAGTAAATGAGGAAAAGAAGAAAGAAGGAAATGAAGAAGAGGAGAAAGAAAGAAAGAAGAAAACTAGAAGGAAGAAAGGGAAAAGCAAGGATCACAAACAATGTAACAATATTAAAGAGACATTTATCACTCATCTGTCACCATGAATCCAAAGGACAGAATCACTTTCAGAGCTGGATTGCAGTTTTCATATTGAAAGTGCAATCATTCTTACAAAAAGGAGGCCAGCAAATCTAGGTGTGTGGGCTCACGTTCCCTGTTACTGTGAATTTCAAGCTCAGTCTCTTTTCAGAAAGTTTGTGAATTTGAAAGAACTTCCCCCAAGCAATGTTTTCAGGATCAAATAAAGCCATGCATGTAAAGGACAAACACACTCCGAGTATTGTCAGCACTTGGCTGTGATGGTTGTATCACAGGGAAAACAGGGATACAACCAAATTGAGGTCAAGAAACTTAAAGCAATAATTTTTCAGGAATCTCCCTGAATATGGGATATAAGTGCTGGCTGTCATGTTGGAATCTCAGTAAGGCCTGTTAGAAACCATAACACAATTGAGACTTCGTGAACCATGAGTAGGGAAGAGAAAAAAATAAATAAATATCTGGAAAAGGAAAGTCACTAGGGCTTTGGAAATACAAAAAATTAAGCATGAAATTTAAGGTAGAAAAAGAGTTAAGATACTGTAATTCAGTGCGTTTTCCCTCAGGGGACACAACATTCCCTGAGTTCTGAGGTCAGTGATCATCAAGGCCTAGAAGCTTCTCTACTGAGCAGTCTCCTGAGGGTCCCCTTCACATCCAAATAATTTACTGGAATTTACTGGGATACAAGATAATGATATATCTCCTTAAAGATTCTTACCATGTCCACGCATTTTCTAATCAATCCTAAGGGACTCCAAGCAAATATCATTAAAAAGGAACATGTTGAAATTTTCAGAGTGAAGTACCAAGTTCT